TGCATTCAGTTTTTATTCACGGTTTGTTTAGTGTCCCAACTTTTTTGGAATCTGCTCTCTAAAAGAGCACAGACTGTCACGATTTCAGCTCCCTGCCTCCTCTGCTCTTTGCCTCCTGCAAGCACTCTTGGCCACGCCCACTTCTCCACTCTGCACCCAGATCAGCTGATCAGCTGCAGCAGGAAGTTTATCCTGCAGTAAGAGCTGCACAGAGGAGCAGCAGGTGTTAAATTATTTAAAATAATTTATTTTAAATAAAAATTCCATGCCGATCATGTGGCTCATCCATCAGTCAGCTAGTTGTGTGTTATGTCCACTCTTATTTTGAAAAAACGCAATAGAGCGAATCCATGGTATACGAACCACGAAGTAGCGAGGGACTACTGTATTATTAGCATAAAAATGCTGAAATAGCAAATAAAAAGGTATTAAGAGTTTAACAGGGCTCTATTGATTTTCAATGAGACAAAAAAAGGCCAAAAAGCTAAATGTGTCAAAGTATTTACTTCACAAATACCAAAATTGATAGCAGGAATGTCCTGAAGGAGCTGAACCTTTTGCTATACAAAGTGTTTAAATAGTACAAAATTAGCTGAACAAGTTACATAAGGGAAGAAAAAACTTATAGAAAAAATACGTAGGCCATTTCAATAGTGGGATTGCTTATTTAGCATTATTACAGAGCAGAGTGAGGCGATCAGGTAAATTTGTCCAACAGTACCTATAGCAGCATAACTAAGGGATAGCTCAGGAAACCCAAACTAACCCTAAATGTAGGATTTATCAAAGAGAGAAGTCTTCAGTCGAACCTTAAAACTGGACAATGTGTCAGCCTCATGGACAGAAACTGGAAGTTGGTTCCACAAGAGAGGAGCCTGAGAACTGGAAGATCTGCCTCCCATTCTGCTTCTGGAAACTCTAGGAACCACAAGTAAACCTTCAGTCTATTCTGCAAAAGAACTATGGAACAATAAGATCTGTAATATAAGATGGAGCTAGGTTGTTGAGAGCTTTGTAGGTTAGAAGTAGGATTTTGAATTATATTCTGGACTTGACAGGGAACCAATGAAGAGAAGCTAAAACTGGAGAGGTATGATCTCTCCTTCGGTCTCTCATCAGAACTGTAGCTGCAGCACTTTGGATCAGCAAAGGACTTTTTAAAGAATCATTTTTGGACACCCATGAAATAAAGAGTTCCAATAGCCCAGTCTAAGTGGTAAATACATGGACCAAGTTTAAAAATGATGCTGACAGAGCTTTAATGGGATGGCTGTGATGTTAAACTGGAGATAAAGACAAAGTAACTTATGTCAACTTTTTAACACATAAACCAGCCAACAGGTGTGCATTTTTAAAACTCATTAAAGTGTGGATAGTCTACGTTCACACAGAATTAAGTCCAAAGTTCGCATCTCGTTGCACAAGTTAAAGGAAGCGTTAAGGCTGCAGCTGCAACATCATCTGACAGAAACACGTTTGATCTGAACGTATCTGAGCAGGACTTCCTCTTTTCACTTCAGTGACAGAACTGTTTGATTCCTGATCATCCTTCTGCTCCGAGACGTTTCGACGAAACAACTTCACACTGGTCCATCGCGGTCTGTCTCATGGTACCAACAGAAACCGTCTCAGAAGAAAACTTCACACAGACCACAGTGGAAAAGGTTTATTTAAAAAACGAGCCCTACAGACTGAACTGCCAAGGTTCAAGGTTCAAGGTCCATGAATCTTGGCAGTTGCCCTGCCCAGCATTGGATTAGAGTGGTTACTGGTTTCCGCTGATGAAAGCTTTCACTGGTGATGTTCATGAACACTGGAAATCAGCTGGAAAACAAAGACTGTAAAAACGTGTAAAGTCAGAGAAAGCGCTGGGTGTAAATGTCTGAGAATTAAACCAAATTAAATCAGTTCTTGAGACTATGGAAAGTTTAAGTCCATGTCAGGAAGACGGTTTTAGAACTTGGTGAAGGAAACAGACGTATGGTTACATCTGGGTATGTCGAGTTATCTCTGGTTACCTTTGGTTATCTGTTTGTGGCTAAATTTGAACACAAGAAAACCAAAGTCTTGTGATTTTCATGCTCAGCTCAGCCCAAACTCCATGAGTCCACAGGTTTCTCTTGGTTTCTATGGGCTGGAGGGAAGGGGAATGGTTTGGACTGTTTAGGGTCAGTGCGGACTAGAATCGTCCTGTAAGAGATCTCAATGGAGGTCTTCAGCTTCCGGCAGAGTGTGCATGTTCTCAGGCAGAACACCTTGGCTGGGGGGGTCACAAGGCTCCTCAGGGTGATCTGCCGGGGTGAATCTGGTATCAGAGTTGAAAGAACCAAGGTCCTGGCTGGATGTGCTGCAGTTTGGCACCTCGTCGGTGTCAGGTTGTGTGTTGTCTGTGCACCCTGAGGTTAGACCGGCTGCTGGCAGAGCTCCTGCAGCAGTTCTAGAAATGTGACTGCTGAGGGACGCGTCACCCCTTTCTGACGGGGGACCGCTCAGTCTCAGAACAGGTGCCGATGCTCCAGAGTCCATGGTGTGACTGCGACCTAGGATCCAGTCTTTGCGATGAGATCGAGCATCGTGGGTTTTTGAGAAGCTGCTGACCTCCACTGTCTCCCCTCGCTGCAGTCTCCTCTGGTCTGGATTCACCTGCCGAGAAAAACCATCAAGATCCAGTTTAGAGACCAACTTCCATTCTAAGGACTATAATCCAGTTTAAGGAACAAGATCCAGTTTAGGGACTAAGACTTGAATTATAGACTAAGGTTCATTTTACAGACTATGGTCCAGTCTAGAGACTAAGATCCAGTTTAATTATTGATCTCTGATACACTTTAAGGTCTGAGTTTCAGTTTGAGACCTGTGGTCACAATGGAAGCTGCCTGGGTGGGTAAATAAATGAACGAACGAATGAAGAGACTAATATTTAATTGAAAGACAAAGTACGTTAAAGGACCAGCACTTGAGAACCGCTGACGTTAAATAAACAGGTCAGAGTGCAGCGGGTACCTGGGGGAGGCCTGGAAGGCTCTTGGGGGGAGCGGCAGGCAGACCTTTCCTCATGTGCTGCATCCTGAATGAATCCAAACACCAGAGGTTAATTCAAACAGTCCTCTCTGGAGGTTCTGCCTTCATCTGAGGCCATGGGACTTGCTGACAGTCTACCTGCTCATGGACTGGGCTAGTTTGTGTCTCCTGCTGTTGGACGAGTCCGGCTGCCTCAGACGCTGAACAAACGAATGAGCTGTGGATTCACAGGACTTGGATCAGAACCGTGTTTGAAAGGCTGAGATCGAGTGAGGAGCTGAAGCTATAACTTACCCAGGGCTCCTTTGGGCACAGACAGGAGTTTGATTGGTTCGGCGTCGGGGGACAATCCAGATGCCTTCTGCAGAGCTCTCAGGATTTCAGTGTTCTTCACGAGAAAACAGCAAATCGAAGGATTACCATTAAAGGAATGCATCCCACACCAGAGATTTAGATTAAGATCATCTTATGTTAAGAAATGATGGAGTTGTAGCTGCACTGTGACAGGAGCTGGGACAAAACAGAAAATGTTTCTCTGTGTTTTTTGTTTTATTGTATTTATGTTGACTTTGTTGGGAGCTGATAAGGCTGATCCCTCCTGTGATAACATTTGTTACACTCTTGTGGTAAAAGCATCTCAGAGCATGCAGTGTGCGTTTGTGTGTGCGCGACGGACAGCACCTTGCCACCGAGTTCATAAGCAGAGTCCAGAGGAGTCCTCTGCCTCTTGTTCCTGAGTCCAGGCGACGCTCCGTTCCTCAGCAGCAGCTCCACCACCTCCTGGTGTCCTCCCCGCACCGCCTCATGGAGAGCCGTGTTACCCTGCAGGTTGGCTACATTCACCAACGCGTGACTCTGCACACATGTTCACATGTCTGTGTCAGGGCAGCTCGTCCAGATGCTGCATCTTCTTCGAGTCAGTGTGTGGGCACGTGTGTACCTGTAGAAGTGTGCTGGCTATCTCCAGGTTTCCATGGAAACATGCGTAGATCAGGCAAGTGTTCCCATAATGATCCTTCTTGTTTAGCTTAGCGTTACACTCCAGCAGAAACCTCACAACCTAAACATCAAACGGTATGTTAGCATCGATAGTTAGTTACCATGAAACTTAAAAAAGACAGATCCTGTTTTACAAATAAAACATCTCAAACAGATCCGGTAGGTTGATCAGTTGACTGATTGATGATGTCTTCTACACATGGACCCACCCACCAACCAACCAACCAAACAAACAAATTAACTACATATATGCCAAATCTAACTAACTATCTAACTAACAAAACTTAATAACAAAACTAACTAACCCAACAAACAAAACTAACCAACTAACAAAACTAACAAAATGAAATAAATTAACATAACTAACTAAGCTTACTAACCTAATAAAACTAACCAACTAATAAAACAAATGAACTATCAAAACTAACAAACTTAACAAAACTACATAACTACTTAACAAAAACTAACCATCTAACATTGCTAAAATTAATTAACTAACCTAACCATCTAACAAAGCTAGTTAACTAACATAAATAACCATATAACAAAGTTAATAAACTAACTAACCATCTAACAAAGCTAATAAACTAACTAACCTAACTCAATAATCTAAGAAAACAAAAAAACAACTAACCAGCAAAACGAACGAACGAACGAACAGACGGAAGAACTGACTGACTGACTGACTAACTAACTAACTAACCAACCAACTATCTAACAAAGCTAATAAACTAACCAACTATCTAACAAAGCTAATAAACTAACCAACTATCTAACAAAGCTAATAAACTAACTAACCATCTAACAAAGCTAATAAACTAACCAACTATCTAACAAAGCTAATAAACTAACTAACCATCTAACAAAGCTAATAAACTAACAAAACTAACTCAATAATCTAACAAAGAAAACTATCCAACCAACCAACCAACCAACTGTAGGAGAAGGGGAGCTGCTCGGTGACACTGAGGGGACAGAGATGATGTCATCGACAGCTCTAGTTTCATGTAGGTCTGTCAGGTTTGGGGTCCGGAGGACACGCCTCTCTGGTCCTACCTGAATGTGGCTGTTCTGGCAGGCCAGGTGAAGGGGCGTGGCGTTTTGGTTCGTGCGGTTGTTGACGTTGGCCCCGTGGCGAATCAGCATTGTAGCCAGTGTGACGTGGCCGTGCAGAGCGGCTACGTGGAGGGGCGTGAAGCCGTCTGCGTTACAGCTGTTCAAACCGAGAGCTCCTGCCTGTTGCACCGACAGCTGCACAACGTCAGAGACATCAGTAAACATCTGTCCACCCCTCGCCGTCCTCTGACACGTAAACATCATTCAAGAAGCTGTCGAACCTTCTGAGCAGGAGCACAGTTTGGACACTGACACAGCGGGTGGCAGACTGGCACCTCGGAAAGTGTCTCCTCTTCATCCTCCTCTTCATCCGTCCATTCCAACAGATAGCGCACCTGAGATGCACACACCATGACTTCTAAGAATGAAACGTCCAAAACAAATGGTGTTCCTTGAACGTACCATCTGCACATCTCCATCAGCGACAGCCCTCAGCAGCTTCTCCACCTATCAGACAAACACACACCATCAGCCACCATCAGTGCTGCGGCTCAGGTTCTGCTCAGCTGCTGGACCGATCTCACCTCCTTGTGTCGGACATGCTCCGACTCTGGTCTGACCTCTGAACCCAGAGAAGAAACGCTGGAGACGGATGAGCGGCGGCTGCTGCAGTCCGAGGTCAGAGGGGAGCCACCAGGAGACTGGAGAACAGAGAACAATGAATGTCCTGGTGCATGCTCAGTAATCCAGGTAGATGAATCCAACAAGGTCGAAGAAGAATCCGTCCAGAGGACCTGACTTAACCTTGTCAGACAGAACAGATGACACTCACATCAACGCTGCTGGACAGATGGCTGTTCTCCAGGGACTGGAAGAGCAGGAGGATCTACAGAAACATAAAAACACAAGTGGAGCGTTTTGATTATTTTCCAGCTTTGGTTTAACTGGAAATAATAACAGCAGGGCACTGGTCAGAGCTGCTGCTGTGGATTGTTCCTATTCTGAACTGACAACACAGAAACAGGTGAAATAAAAAATGTCTTCGAAAAAGCTCTGAACTGTTTATTGCAATAAACGAGGCACAAGTCACACGGAGTGTCAGCGCAGTCTGCAGGAGAGCGCACGGAGGACTTGGTCCAGTTTGTCTTTGGTATCTTTTTAAGACACAGTAGGAACTAAAGTCAGTGGTTTTGACAAGGTGAATTTTTCACCAGTTATCTGCTCACGCCTGGTCAAGAAAACGCTCCTCCATCAAGAAGCTGAACAGTTTTTTCCATATTTCAAACTGAAAACCGACATTTGTGTTTTCTTAGAGTCAACATTTTAAAGCACCTGCATGTTCGAGACATCTAATTCTACAACCTCTGACCTTGGAGTTGAGTACACACTGCAGAGGAGACTCCTTGCTCTTGTTGAGGATGTGGGTGCTGGCCCCGTTCTCCAGCAGCACCTGGATGATCCCCTCGTAACCCCAGCGTGTTGCCATGTGCAGCGCGGTGTCGCCTTTGTCGTTCTGCAGGTCCAGGTGGCACGTATGGACGTCGTAGTACACCAAGGCCTTCACACACTGAGGAGAACCAACACAACAGGAGATGATGTTGTCTGCGTCTAATATTGTTGACACTCAGATCTGAGGAGAACTACATCTCTGCTGCTCTGAAGGTTCCTCAGAGCCTTGGGGACTAAGTTTCAGATGGACAACCAGAGCTACAGGCCTCCACTGATCGTGACTTCCTAACAGTGGTCAGACAGAAGTCCCTCCTCCCTGAAAGATGTCATTAGACAGAAAATAAGTGACATACGTCTTCGTGTCCGTACATGCAGGCCAGGTGCAGTGGAGTGTTGCCGTTGTTGTCCTGAGCATCAGCATTGGCCTTATAGTGCAGCAGCAACAGCTGGACAGAAGGGGAGGGGCATAAATCACATGACTTCAACCTGAACACAGCTTTAATGCTACGTTAGCTCAAATTTATTTATTTATTATTTATTGCTGTATACAGAACATTCCATCTTTTTATGACCTGGAAGTGGATGAAAGAAAAAAAGTCTTTTTACTAAGTAAATATAAAATGTTCATGTAAAAAAAAAAAAAACAAGTTAAATTTAGACAGCCAAGATAAAATGTCATTGTTATGCTGATGCTGTTATATTTATTAATGAAACCTGCTGAATCCAATCAGTTGTAGAGACATAAAAACCTGGATGACTCTTAATTTTCTTCCTTCTTTGAATTCCGACAAGACACAAGTTTTGGTTTTTGAATCTGAGCATTTTAGGAACAAACTGAGGTCTTTCACGTCCTCTGGAGGGGAATTTAGCCTCCAGTTCCATCCATCATCTTCTGCTCGTTACAGAGTCAGGTCTCAAAGGCAGCAGCTTGAGTAGAGAGGTCCAGACATCTCTTTCCAAAACCTTCTCTACCAGCTCTTTTAGGAGGAATATTACAAAGTAAACATACAGTAAATTGACAGTATTCGTAAATAAGCTTGAAACCTGCCAGCCTCTTATCTAAAAACTCAGCCTTAATGTGCACATGTTCAGACATCAGTGAAGTGTTGCTCATAGATAAAAACATGTAGGTGTCCCCTGGAGCTGCCAAGCCTGAGTGACTACCACCATGATCTTGTTTCAGGGGTCTGCTCGTCTTCCTGGACTGTACCGATGCAGTGAAGTGGCCAAAACAGAGAAATGTCAGATTTTTGTGCTGCCTCTGAGTGTTATTGAAAGAGGAATGAAGGGTGTATAAACCCCCTTCTGCTAAAAGAGACAACCCAGATATAACACAAGCATCCACTGGAAGCTTCATTAAATGATCGAGGGCGAATCAGAAGTTATGGTACAACAGAAAGTTTACGTCCATATGGACGGACGGAGACTGTGCCGTAATACATCCCCCCCCTTTGACATGCATATAAACACGGTTCCAACCTGATATTAGTGAGGTGCACCTAAAAAGTAGGTGATGAATGTAATCATCAATATGCATGATGCTTATCAGGTAAAACACTGTGTGGAGGTGATGGAGAGAGCTTACAGAGACCCCCTGGTATCCACGCTGACAGGCCAGGTGCAGGGGTGTGCGGGCATGGTAGTCTGTAGCGTTAACCGGAGCTCCTTTACGTACCAGGACGTCGATGAGTTGAGCCTGACCTAAAACATTAAACCCAAACAAGCCTTAGATTTCACTAAAAGGATGATGCTCCCTGTGTGTGTAGCAGCTCACCACAGACAGCAGCAGCGTGCAGCGGAGTGTAACCTCTGTCGTCTCTGGAGAACGGAGTGACGATGGACAGATCATTCAGGCGCCTGAAACGACGACAAACGGCTTAGTTTACAGCTGGAGGTTACGTTATATCAGAGTTCCCGGTATTTCATCAAAACAAAATCCCCCAAGTTTTCCCTCAGTAAATTCCAGATGTTTCAGTCACGTGAAACACTCAGAACTTTATATCTTAGGTGATGAGCAAAGAATTTACTGTAGCATGGAGTTATTCAAATCAGGGTCATTCAGAGATGACAGGAAGTATATTGTAGCCTACAATACATGTGTACGGCAATCATTACTAATAATTAGTTATATTGTATAACATCTGAAACAAAAAGGTACCAGAGTCAATCAGTAAGGATACATGTACTGTGTACACTGTAGGAGCAGAACATGGACTCAATCGTACTAGAATACTAGCATTAATACATGCACACGTGAAGATCTCAGATAAATCTTATTTTAATAGCAGATCAGTGTTCAAATTCCCAGTTACCCTGATTTTTATGTTTTTCTCAAATTCCCTGAGTTTTCCCTTTATGGAAAATGTGAAAGTGGTGTGTGTGGGAGGTGGAAGGACTAC